TAAAATGGTCACATTCATTTTAAAGAAAAGAAATATAATTGGTATTTGCATAGAAGAAAATGGATGAATTTAAATTTTGGTTGATTATAATTATTGTCATCATAATCATCATCATTATCTTTGTATGTCTAAATGACTGATTCAAAGAAGAATTTTAACACATTTCACATGTCAGTGTAATTCTTTTCTGTTTTGTGCTTTAGTGCTTGGGGATTTTCATTTGCTTTTTTCTGTCTGAACTTTTCATGGAAGCTATTGTAATCTTTTTAAAAGGTGGAAAAATGTTTCAAAGGAAGTAAAATCTGGAAGTATTACATATATTTTTTTCAATAAATTTTAATCAAATTGTACAGAAAAACTGATACACAGATTCTGTGCGATGGCACTTCAAAATGCCTTTAAGAAGGAGCTTAAGAAGGAGATTTTCAATACAAGGCTGTACCTGAGTCTGGACCATTTGACCAGATATGGGATGCTAGACAGTGATAGTTGCATACAGATTAGTAGGTGAACTATCTGAAGCAGTGGTGCATTCAGATGAAGATATCATTCAAAAAGTCTGTTAATAAATTGGAACTGCACATAGACATTGTGCTCCTAAAGACTTTCAAAGTTACTAATAATTTTGTATATTTCAATACTGTGTATATTGATACAGCTGGTATTTCCTTATGTATTCCATATTATTGTTGCTACAGTAAAAAGCATGAATCTGATCGTGTGAATTTATCAGTATTGATAAAGAGTTCAAATCCACAGTATCTTTTGGTGAAAGGAGTTCTTTTTTCACTGAGTTTATATCATGTCCAAACAGAGATGAGCAATCAATAATCCAAGGCCTTATACTATGGAAAGCAAAATAAAGTTTCGTAATTCCTGTTTCCCTAATAACTTTGAAATGTCTCTGAAAAGCATGCCTTCCGTGACAGAGGGATCATCACAGCCTGTGTCGTAGCTATGATTTTTGACACTTGCCATCTTTTAAAAACAGGACTTGGGTTTTCCCATAGCTTAATCTTTAGTGTTAAGTTAATTTGATTCCGTTAACTCTCTAAATTTCTAATGGAAACAACTGTTAACATGTAGAGCTTAGCACAAAGTAGCTAAGCTAAATGTGATTTTTCATTGTCTTACATCACTTTAGTTCTTAGCCCCGTGTAAACATGCAAGCGAGAAAACTAGCATTTTACTTTGTGCTGTCCAGTAAAAGACACGAAGTGCAGACTGGCAGATACATCTTTATTACCAGGAATTTAAGCCTCTGTTACACAATTGTCTATGTACTGTGCACATGTTTCTTGGGTCTTCTTAAAAGGCTGTAAGTAAACAATGAAATTGGATGCATTATCAAATAATGCTAAAGAGCACATTAATGTCAAGAGAGCACTATTATGTGGAAGAAGAAGGATTTCAGTCAGCAAAACCAAGCTCCAAAACAATGCTTTTCAGTCTTCTATTAAATAATGGCCAGTATGGGTAGCCTCTTGCATAAGGACTGGTATGCCAAGCATTAAAGTCTTGTTTCTGACCAGGTTACTGTGACTTGTTAAAACAACTGTTCCCTGCAGTCTTGCTGATGGCAGTTTCCAGATAGTCTTTTGAGATGGTTTCCTGCATGACAATTCCCAAAATAGGAAGACAGAAGATAGAGGCTAGCAGAAGCCTTATTTGTCTTTGCTAAATTAAATTGTGGTGTCTTCTTTCTTACCTTGGGATGAATAGAAGCACATTCATGCTGCTACACAGAAGGACACTAGCAACTTGTAAAGAACATGCTTTTAGCTGTAAATAATCATAGAATAGGTGCCACTACCCAAGATAACGGACTGAATAAGAACCTGTTGTAAGGATTTCCCTGAACTGGCTGCTGTTAGAAAAACTGACAACTGATGAGTTGCAGCACAGATCCAAGTTTTGAGAACCTTCTGTTTCCTCACTTTGTCCAGGAATTTGTATTTTTAACATATACTTTGTATGTAAAGGCTTGCACTGCAAGATACTGGATTCAAGTAAGTTTCTCTTACTGGAAATTATCTAGCAAACCCAGAATTCCTGGCTAACTTTGTGCACTGAAGTGACAACAATATGTTCAATCAACATTAATTATTAAAATAGCAAAGACTATTGGTGTCTGAAGCTCATTGCTCTATCACTTCTAAGCAAAAGGCTTTTTTTTTCTCAATAGTGTTCTTTCATTCTGTTGCTTATGTATGTCCTTACTTGGAAATGAAATAATATCTAGAATATGAAAAAACTCACAGTCCATAAATATTTTTTTTTAATTTGAAACTATATCCTACATTTACATTTGAGGAAAACAACTAAAGTCCAAGGTTTATAATAAACTATGCTGTATTCTAAATTCACAGACTTTGTGGAAAAAATACAGAAAGTCATGACATTGCATATTTATAATAATGATGGGTATAATCTAATTGAACGGTAAAACATTTCTCTAGAAAAATATCTGAAGAAATTTATTTGTTTTATGGTCTTCCTCAGTGCAAAATACTCTATAGTTCATGGCATCATAATACTAATGAAAAATACCAGTAGTTATCTCATAGGGTACTGAAAGGTTTCAGCATTCTAAATGTGGGTAAAGATAATTTTTAAAAACTCAAACTACAGGAGGGTTATGCATTAAACAATAATGATCACAGGTGTTTCAACCTGTACTTTTAACTATGGCCTGATAATCCTTATGCCTCCACAAGTCACAGGTAATTAATTCCATCTGAAAGTCAATGAAGTTAAAGTATAGAAAGCCAATATTACTTAAGCTCACATATATCTTTGTAGGTTAACAATGTATACTGCTACCTACAACATCAGCCTTCATGCTGAAAAAAAAAAAAAAGAGAAAAAAAAAGCAGAGAAAGTCAGTAATGTCTCCTGAAGATTAAGAAAGATTCTGTAAGTTTTCATGTTATTGTTTTTCATTGTCCCTAAACCCACAGAACGCACTGAGAAATATTTTGAGACACAGAAGATCAGTCAGGTTAAACCCAAAACCTACTCTTAAATATTTTATTCTGATCCCACCCTGTATATCTTTGACTAAGATTCAGAGACTCAGTTCTACAATGGATTCAGTCTCTCTGGATCATGCTTCTTGAACAATGGTGAAATAGCAGGACAAGTCCCTCATGAGGTCTTTCCCTGTACTTCCTATAAAGAACTATAGAATATACTGTAGCTACGTTCATAAAATAGATACTTTTATTCAAAAAAACCATTCAGAATTGTAAAAAGACCTAGGAAACAGTGGCAGAAGACTTCAGGATGAGGCTTACTCCTTTAGGAGCTGAAAAATAGATGAGAAATCTGAGGGAAAGGCTGCAAGTCTGAGGGAAAGGCTATGTGAAATAACGAGTCAGCAGTTGCACAGATTACTGACCTAAACTTCCCTATGCACCCTAGACTGCATTCCCTATGCATGCTAGACTGTCTTCCTAACTCCCTATATATGTCCTAGACCTCTAATTTAGGATTTTTGTTCTTCTAAGGCAGTGGGAGGCAGAACATCCTGGACCTTACCAACTGCAAACAGCATTCCAAATGAAAGTATTTAGAAATTTTTTATTTACATTCTAAATGAAATGTCTCTAACCTTCTTAGGCTTGTGGTTTAGGGATCAAAGAGTCAAGGTGGCATGTAAAACCTCAACCAGTTTGGACCAGTTCCATTGATTTTTACTCAAAACTCCAGATTGATTTCAGAAAGAAATGGAAGCATAGATTGATATTACAGCATGGCTTTAAGCAGAAATGTAGTATTTTAAAAGACAGTATCATAAAATTGATGTACAATGCAGAATACCCATTGATGCCACTTTCTGTCAATAAGATTTCTATAATTTGAAGAGAGTAAAACATTGAAATAACTATTAGTATCTGAGGCAAAAATACCATTCACTTCCATGGAAACAGAAGCAGGCCCAAATTCTGACTACTAAAATATTATCTGTGTCATGAAGTACTTAATTATTTATTTCATTACCAGTTTAGATATAAAAATATCAAAATACCTATGCAATTTTAGAATATGGTAATTTCTTAATATTTGCTGTCACACTTATAAAAGATAGGTACTCCTGAATTATCCCCCTATGTGTGAAAAGCAGTAACAAGATCAATGAGACCTGAACACAAGGAGGCATCTTAGGATAACAGCTGCAGATGCATGCATTCTCTGCTAAAAAAACAAAAAATAAATACACACTGCTCACCCTCGTTTTTCTCCCTGCCCCATATAAAATCCTGCCATTACTCTTTTTAATTGTTAAGTGCATGAAAAGAAAAGCAAGAACAGGTAACAGTCCACGTATCAGTATGGGCAAAGTACAACAAATGGTCACGCTGAGAGGCAAGGTAAAGTGAATGCTTTGCATTCAGTTTTGAGATTTGTTTTGATGAGACTTAATGGTTGGACTACACTTACAACCATATGCCGTATACTTAATGGGTGTACGGAAAACTGCAACTATGGATCTTTACAGTCTAAAATACATACTGGTTTTAAAGATGAGCTCAAGATAATTACTTTCACAGTATTAATAATTCTCCCAATTGGATTTCCACAAAGCAGATTCAATAACATACTAAAAATACTTATTCAATAAATCAATTACGCTTCTACTGAGTCTGGATAGCTATAAATTGTTTTCTCATTGATAAAATACTGTTTATGAAAACCTATTTTCATGGAAACGACTCTTAAGATTTTATTGGAAAATGCTTTTCAGTTAAACAGAAGAATGAGAATTAATGAAAGGTCCACACAAGCCTTATACATTTAAAGAAACCATAGAAGATTACTTTTTTATTGCTGCTTGAAGTAGAATGTAATGTCCACGTTTAAAAATACAAAAACAATGTAAAGAAAAATTAAATACCTTCTTATCCCACTAGATGGTGGTGCCCTCAGATTATGGCTGAGATGCTCAAACAGTACAAGAAAACTTTTGCCTTCTTTAGCTGACCTGCAAATACAGAGTGAGAGATAAGGCTTATCTTGATCCTCTGGGAGTATTAACAAGCAAGTATAAAGACTTAATGAATATATTTGAGTACATAGTATTGTGTTCATAGAAGTTTGCTATAAAGTGCATTTTAACTTCAGTACACATCTAATGGAATTATTTTTTCTTCCTGAAGAAGGAAAGATGCCAATACTGACCCTTAATTCATTGTACCTCATATAATACAGCCTTGTTATAGTAAGGTCCTGGCTTTGCGATTTTGTTGCACTGTATCCTCAATCAAATTCAAAAACCAGATTGAAGTAGCTAATCATTAGCAACAACTTCATCTTAGAATCATCATAGTTTTGTTTTCTTATATTTCACTGGAACAACCTGAAAACTAGTGGTCACATTTTTATACCACATACTCCTTTCCTTAAGAAGGAAGGTAATTACACATCATCTAGACAAAAAGTGACAGTGTCTAAGCTTTAAAGGGCACATCACTTAAAACAATTAAGTGACATTTTAATTAATAGGAAAAGTAGATGGGACCTTGTCTGAGACAGTATTTTTTGTGATTTAGTTTTCTCAGGTTCCATAGTAAGTGGTCAGGAGAGCTTGTCACAAAGGCAGTGGCTGTTGAGGACTGTCCCAAGCACAGGCTCAGCATCACACCCAAAAATTGCACAGGGAGGAATCCTACAGATGCAGACTCACAGAGAACTGGAACATGATGTTAGAGGATCCAGAGTAATAAATGTATAGCTACTGCCAGTAACTTAGGCAGCTGTCAGTCATACCCAGACAGGTGATTTAAAGTGAGGCGGGAGTTTCCTGCATTCAAGGCAAGCCATGTGGACAAATTGCTGTATGCACATGTTTGCTCCAGAGACCACTCTCTCAAATTTGTGCAAAGATAGTCAGTGAGTGGTTGAAAGCCAGTTCTGAGACTTGCACTGAAAAGATTTTTTTTTTTAGTTTTGCTTAAAATGATGATGTACATTGATAGTATGAAAAAATTACGATTAAGATTCATAGAATGGTTAGGGTTGTAAAGGACCTTAAGATCATCTAGTTCCAACCTCCTGCCATGGGCATGGATGCCTCACACTAGATCATGTCACCCAAGGCTCTATCTAAAGCTGTTTTATGGATGATGAACTCTCTGGTAAGATAAGCCCTAACATTAGATTTTCTAGTTGTTCTTTTTAAAGACGGTGTAATGGTACAGAAAAATTAAGGATGTCCATAATTGTCTTGGAAAAGACAACATTAATAATGACCCCCAGACCTTTACGACACTCCGTAATTGTTGCTCAGTGTATTTTACTTCGCATCACCCTGCTCCCAGGTGATCACTCATTTTCTAATACCTAGTCATTTAAAAAATAATCCTCTTTCTGGCACAGTCTAACTTAAGTTTACTTGCTGTGTTCCCTTCTGTATATTTTACTCTTCCTATTCTACTCTTGCCCTTGTCAATTCCTTTTTACATTCAGAGGACTGAGGCAGAAAAATCAATATAGAAATGGATGTGGATGCTCAGTTCTTCTGTAGACTGTTAATTATTTTGCATGTTAGAATCTTCCCTAACTGTATTAGGAAGAGAAGATCCACTCTTACTTTCTCTAGAAAGGTGGGTAGGATTTTCTGAAAGCCTGAAGCAGCAAAATTCACTCCAGTCATTGCTACTCACTGCCATCAGGGGCTGAAATGCAGTATTTGCCAAGAGTGCAAGTTCCATTATTTGATCTCTTTGACTGTACCAGTATAACTGCCAATCACAGGAAATACCTCTAATAACTCTTCCTTTTACTTAATAAGGAATACCACATCTTTAAAACATTAGAAACAGATGTCACTGCATTACTTCACTGCTGATGTATGTAATAGAAATGACACACTAATTAATTTAATGCAGTATAAATGTACTGATTATTTATCATGGCTGACAATAAAATTATGAAAACATTCAATTACAATCAGTGGTAATTCATTATTTATTGATTCTGCATTATACACACATTAATACAATACATTTAATTACATAAGAGAAGAAGGGATCATTTTTCTATTGATACTTAGGCATTTAGATTCATTGGTTTTATATAAAATCCTTGATGTTGAGGTGGGAAGTTTTAATCCACAATTCCAAAAAAAATTTACTGAAATGTCAGAAATAAATTGAATACAAGTGTCAAGTACTAGTGCATCTAGAAAAATGTGGGCACTAAGAATGACATACTAATTTCAGCCTCTTCTTTTTCTCACGTCAGTGGCCTACATTTGTTAATATAATCATGCTTACTCTTTCCCAAGGAAACCAAGGAATTAAACACTAACCTAGCAAAATATTAATAATGTTTTTTCTTCCTTTTTAAGCCTTTCTTCAGAATTAGCAGTATCGGTGGTCTGCATGCTCATGATACAAACTCAAAGATCACCACGGTAAGTTAAGAGATTTAGGCTGGGCCCTGAGTAATTTTTTTTTGTTAAGGACTAGGAGACTATCAGTGTCACTAGGGCTCAAGTCAGACTGGAGCTCAGAAAAAAAGGTGTTTCATTTCATTATGACGAGGGTGCGTTGCAAATACATCTTTCAGTTCCTTCTTTCATTCTTCATTTTGGGCCCACAGTTCCCTCTGATCCTTGTAAATCAAAGTTCACATTTATCCCTCCTATTTATTTTAGTAAAGATCCAAGTTCTTCACTAAAACCTGGCATTTTCTCCTTCTACAATCTACATTGGACATACCTGTATCAAGTCTATAGAAAAATTTCTTTATACTAAGAAAATAAATAAATCCTCAGGACTTTTTACATGGTAATATCTATGGAATTCTTTTTTCTATTGTCCTGCCCCATATTTGGCTACAGTAGACCAGGATAAAACACAAACATCCTTATTGAGCTTTCCTGGGTTTTTGAAACAAAATTATTATTATTTTTAATTAATTCCCTACTGTGTCACTTAAAAAGCTGTCATTATTTTTCATCATTGTTGCCTCCTAGTCAGTTGTGTCACCCATCATTTTCTCTATAGGATCCTTGTAAGCCAATAGCCACATTTATGCCAGCTGGCAAAAAGTGATTTCCAGAATGCTGTTGACTGGCCCTGTCTGGAATGACTTGGGCTTTCCTCTCTCCTCCCATGTCTCAGAAAAGAGCTCTTCCGCATTTCACTCCAGTAGGGCATATGTAATGATGATAACAACAAAAACAAACAAATGCAACAAAACCTTTGCTTGACATTTTGCCATACAGACAATTTTTGAATAGGACTAATACACAGTACACCAGAATTTCTATAGATGAACGTGTGAAGAAAACAGAGTATTTTGCATACCAGTCAAAAAGAACAAAAATACTGAAACTTTAAATAAATAAAATAATTTAGCTATAGGGAGGCTTACTGGTTTCTACACATTCAAGTTGCTTACTGCTGGACTCTGTTCAAATAAACCATCTGGATACTTTACAACTGACAAGATACTACTGTGTGATTGTTAGGCCTTAGTAACTTTGCCTTGTCTTTAATAAAATCACAGCGAAATAATAATATCCATTGATATAGTTGATTTTTATATGCTTAGTTTAACTGAACAGCTGCCTGGTATTAATTCTCAAACCTTGTGCATTTTCTGAGTTTGAGAGCAGTTCTTCTCTCCATGGATAGTCACCTCTCAAGGGTACTGTTTTTACTACAGCCTTTATGATTTTATATTGCTTCATGCCACTCCAACTTGCTGGGTGTTGATGCGCAAGGCTTCCTCTGGCCTTGCAAAAATTCAGTCTTATTTAGAAATATGTTTAGCTTATGAAAGACATTAAAGTCAAAAAGGAGAAAGAATTCTTATGGTGCAATTTGATTGTCACATTAATCTCAAAGCAAAAAATCTCTTTAAAAGGGCAGTGTTTGGATCTGATTTATTAAATCTCCTAATAGCAATTACATCCAGAAGATTAAATCCCAGAAGTTTCTATCTGAAGTCAGTTATTGGTTACTTCTATCATTTCCAGTATATAATGATCTCGGATTAGTTCAGGACTTGACTGTACTAAACACTTTGCCGGTGTGAAAAGCCCTATGCCACAGAACTTCCGCTCCTAGAATGAGGCATCAAGTAGTTTACGAAATATGAGCATTCTTATTGAAAGGTATTCACTTAAGCCTAGTTTATGTGAAAATTTTGCATTGGTTTTAGGCACCTAGGCTAGGGGCGTAAAACAAGTGGCTACTCATCTTGGAATGCACATATAATTGATGGATTGGTGCCTGCAGAGTGTAATTTAGTTAATATAATTTAACAAATATAGCATTTCATTTCCCCTCATCTAAAATGGGATTATTCATAATGCAAAAATACTAAACTTTGCAGATAGGGTGCCTAAATAAGCAAGCTTAACAAAAGGAAGAAGATGGCATACAAAGCAGTGCGATCATGGAAATAGCTGAAATACTCTGTTGGCATTGCTTGTTTGGTATCAACTTGAAAAGTTTTATTAATACTTTTGTGCTTGCTTTGTTTACTGAACACTTTAGGAGGAAGTTAAAAAAAGAGGGGTGTGAAGAAGTTAGAGGACTAGGAAATAAGGAAAGAGACTGAAAAAAGTGGAAACAAGAAAAAATGATGTTAATACAAAGGAAAAGAAGGAGGAGGCTGGGAAAAGAGATGTAATGTGAGTACACTAGGAGAAGGTAAGCATATCACCACTCTAGCCAGGTGTATATCAAGCAGATTCAACTCCTTTATATGAAATTTATATGCCATCTTTTGAGTCCAGTTGTTCAGGGAGAAGGGATGCATGAAGCTTAGCAGTTCTTTTGTCAACTGACCTGCTTCAGGTGAAAGAGGCAGAGGATCTGTCTGGTTCCCAAGACTGCTGGGTTTTACTTGTGTGCAGCTGAACGAGGGACCATATGGTGCTTCTGGAGGCTGCCTTACAGTCAAGCTTGAGGAGAGGACTGATGCCATTGTATCTAAAACACAATTGATGCCACACTTGAATCTGGAAATTACATGCAATTACACGCAAGACCTCCCGAGAACAGACTTTGCCTCCTGTGCCCTATCACCAACTTCCACATCTCTCACACTCTCCCCTCACTGAGTGACTGGCGGGCTTAGTTTGTTTGCTGCCACGTCCTCCACCGTCTCTTCACACAAGAGAATAATAACGGGTTGCTGGTCCACAGTTAAGATGTGGAAAGTCGGGTGCATTATTTATTTAACGGAGACTCGCGCTGCTAAACTTCCCCTCACACCGCCCCCCTCTCTCCCGGTATCTTTCGGCTGTGTGAGGGCACAGGTGTTTTGACACTCAGGGACGTACCAGAGCGCAGCGACCGCTGAAACTATTCGGGGAAGAGGGCCGGCGCCCGGACCTGCGGTGGAACAGCCGCAGCCTTGCCCTCCTCTCCCTCAGAGCGCCGGGGCTGAGCCGCGGGATCCCCTCACGGCCCCCGAAACGCTCCCCGAAACTTTCCCAGCCCGCGGCTGCCGAGGAAGTTCCCGCGGCCGGACCGCGCTCTCCTCACACGCACCCCGGCCCGGCTCGGCCGCCTCACGCCCCGCGGCCCAGGTGCTGCGGCTGGCGCTGCCCCGCCCCGCCCCGCCGCCCGCAGCCACTCTCCGGGGCCGCGCTGGAGGCGGGCGGGGCGCATTGGCTGGAGGGCGCTGTCACTCTTCCCCCCCCCCGGCGGCGCTGGGGAGGGGTCTGGGAGCGCGGCTGGCGGCGGCCGCTGCGTGTGGGAGGGCGGGCGCGCGGCTCTGTTTTTAGTAGTAGAGCAAAGCGCGGGGCTGAGGCGAGCGGCGGGGAGCCGGGCTGGCCATGGCTGTCTCCGCGCCGCCCGTCATCGCCGCAACTTCCAGCGGCGGCGCGGGGGGCTCGGCAGGCTTGTTCCGGGCGGACCCGCTGTACTCCAGCCCCGCGGAGTCTCCGCGCCTCACCAACAGCCTCGTCAACAGTTTCCTCTCCGCGGGCAGCGGCGGGGCCGGCGCGGGCGGTGGCGGCGGCGGCGGAGGCAACGAGTGTAAGATGGTCGACCTGCACGGGGTGAAGGTGGCCTCGTTCCTCGTGGAGGGGCAGGAGCTGATCTGCTTGCCGCAGGTCTTTGATCTCTTCCTCAAGCACCTGGTGGGAGGGCTGCACACGGTCTACACCAAGCTGAAGCGGCTGGATATATCGCCCGTGGTGTGCACGGTGGAGCAGGTCCGCATCCTGCGGGGGCTGGGGGCCATCCAGCCCGGCGTCAACCGCTGCAAGCTCATCACCAGGAAGGACTTCGAAACTTTGTATAACGATTGCACCAACGCGAGGTGAGCAGCCGAACTTGGCGCTTCCTCCGGCCCCCGGGGAGCCGTGCCCGGGGCGGGGGTGATGGGTCCCGTGTCTCCGCTCGCCGGGGCTCCTGCGGCGGGAGGTGGGGGAGTCCTTTCCGAGCGCTGCGCGCCGCAGTCCCGGGCGGGCCGGGGCGTGGGGCCGGGGTTGGCGGTGCCGGCGGTGTGTGGGGGGTGACCCCCGCGGCGGTACCAGCGTGAGCTGCGGGATTCCCCCATCTCCCGGGACCGCTGGACAGCGGATCCGTTCTGCGCGCCCGTCTGCAAACTTTTCCCTTAGCAGTGGGAGCAGAGTTCCCGTTTACGCTGCGCACAAATAACACAAAAGTTTTATCCGTGTTTTTTTTCCGCTGCAACTCTCGGTTCTCCTCAGGATCCCTCGCTCCCGGGAGGGTGGGCGCGGGCTGCGGCTGTCGACTCCCGGCCGGTGCCCGCAAGGGAGGCGGGCGGCGGCTGCGGGCAAACTGTTGCCCATTACCGAGCCGGAATAATGGTGCGTCCCGCAGTTGAGAGTGCTGGTGCGGGCGCAGCCCCTGCCTTGGCGAGCCCGGAGCGGGTGATATTCCTGGGAGATCCCTGCTGGGTCCTTCGTACTTGGGGTTACAATCCTTATAGCTGCTGCCTTTAGAAATGATAATGATCTGATAAACACAAAACCCTTCTCGGAGCTCAATAGAAACACCAAGTGCAGTGGGGTCGGATGCGAGGCAGGGTGTGTGGAGATGACATGACTAGTTCAGCAGTTCCTGCGGTACCTCCTTAGAAACATTTACATTTCGGTGTGCTCCTGCTTTCAGCCTGGCAGGAAACTTTTCTTCATGGAGGTTGTCTCGCAGAGCTTTGAGCGCGGTGTCTGACGTGCAGCATGCGGATATTTGTTAACTTTGTTTTCGTGTCGCTACTTTTGGCTGCTCAGCACCGAACGTGTAGTGTTGGGTGGGGTATTTTTAATAACACCTTCAGCAAGCACTGATTTGGGGCCTGATCCTGTTCTTGCCACCTGGAGCTGAGGCGGGAGCAGACCGGACGTCCTTTCGTGAATAGCAGTATTTGGTTTGTTTCAAATCATTTTATGTTACAGGTGACACTCGAGGCAAGCTTGCACTCATTTCCTAGCCGTGTTTATTTGAAGTACCTGCCTTTTCTCGTGCTCGTGTTGTGTTTCTGTGACACCTTCTCCCGCTGCCTGTTTCAGTGTCTTGCACCCCTGTGACATCATAACCACTGCCATGTTAAAATGATGGTGTTAAAAGTAAGGTCTGAGGATAATGTACTTAAATAAAATTAATGTAGGATTACTAAGGGACACTCTTAGCATGTAAATGCTTCTCTGAAATATTCCTGAAACTCGACTAGCCTGAAAGTTGACCATTAAAGAAATAAGTCTTTTTAGTTTCTGTGACCGTGCCAAAGTTTTTCTTTGGGGAAATAGGAGATTTGACGATGCAGCCTTTAGATGCAGTCTGATTTCTTATCTCTTTCAACCAATGATTTAAAATCTAGAAATGCTGGATATTAAGTATTCAAAACTTGTATTTCGTAGACTTAAGGCATGATAGGATAAGGGAATAAGTAATGCAAGGAGCAGCTGAGAGGGGAGGCCAGAGGAGCTGTGTGTGAGTGAGGAGCCGAGTGATGCTCTGAGAGTGGGTCTGAAAGGAGCAGTCAGTAGAACGAAGACCTGGGCAAAGGCTGAAGATCCGGCAAGGGCACTGCTGAGAGGGCATCCAGTAGGTCAGAAACAAGTCTCAATGGAGTCAAAGCTCTCAACTAAGTGCATTCAACACGTGTTTAAGCACAATCACTTCCTGCCTAGTTATGAAAACACTGTGCATTTTTTACATGTTCAGGAGCACCAGATCCCTGTACATTCCCTAAAATGTTTCTTGTTTATTGAAACATCACTTGGCCATGGTTTATATCTCTTTAAATGCAGCTGGTTTGAATAACCTGCTGATGTATTTTGCCTTCACGGTTTCAGGTGTAATGCGTGATGTTATCAGCACACATGAAACTTCTCTCAAGTGTTGTAACTTAATGTTAGGTATATTCCATCATGCTAATTGAATACTTAATATGTCATTTTATTTACAGCTCTTTTTTTTTTTTTCCTTGAACGATCAGTGCTAGTTGGGGCGTATGTTGGCTAAAACTAGCTAAATACACAAGTGAGCTAATTCTTGCTTGCTGTGCAGTGACCTAGGAACCACTGCAGTGCATGGTACCAAGCAGATAAAACACAGTACCGCTGTTACAGCTATACATACAGGATTTAGGGTCTGTACCTGGGAAGTTAAGTCTTGGAAGAAAGTGATCTTTTAGAAGCAAACCCTTTGATGTGTATTGTTCCGCTGCATGACTCAAGCATTATTTTCAACTCGGAATGTTGCGCATTGCTTTTTTTAGTGTGTATGTGTACATGTGTGTGTATATATATATGAATTTATAGATATTTATATACATATTTGAATACTGCAGAAAGTAAACTCGAGCTGCCAGAAAAAGCAGTAAGAAATTCTGGCTATCATTGTTTTCAATGTTAGTTCACTTCTGACAGTCAACATCTCATATGTTTGTGCACACTTTCATTTTATTTCTATTGCAGTGTTAACTCTCTATTACATATAACTGGAAAAAAAGAGAAATTCTACTTCTCTTGCTGTGTTGAGTTTATGAGCTTTGTGGGCAAGCTCAACTAAGCTGCAGAGAAAAATATACCTGCAAGTGAAAGTTTTTTGTTTGTTTGTCCTCTGTATGTAACATTAGTTACCTATAGTTAGCATTTTTGACCTTTGTATTTTTTTAAACAGTACCTGTATAAATTTCATTCACCTGTAAACAGAATGTTCCTAACTTTGATTATTGTTAGCCATCATCATCTAACCTAATTTGGAAGCAAGGTTTGTGAAATGAAACTAACTGTTCATTTCATTACAGGTAGCATCGTCAAGTGAAGAGTGAGTACAACATATTTAGACAATTTAATTACTAATTTGCAGTATCTTAGAAGACTCCTTTAATTATGGACACATGCTTAATTTTAGTAGTAAAGCATAACATTTACTTAAAGTAGAAAACTATAACGAAGTTTTACTTAAAAATGAAATTTAAAACCATAGAACATTTTTATGATGGTAAATGTGACAATCCTTAAAATTAGGATTATATGAGTATGATTGTTTTATGGGGTTTCTGTGTTTGGGTGCTGTTGGCTACTGAAAAAGCATAGTGTTGGTCTGGATTATCCAGTAAATAGTAAGAATAATTCCCAGAAAACAGTGTTTTAATACATGGCTTATTTTTCTGACTTAAAGTATCTAGTTAAGCTAATATTTTGTATTACTTGGGCTATTCACAAACAATAAAAGGCTTTAGAAATGAATTTAAGCAGTAAATGCAGACATTTTATTTTATGAGATAATGAGGGTCTTGTCATGTTGTCTATTAAAAGCTACCTTATAGTCAGCAATACTCTTTTATTAGGAGAATGATGTCAAGGTTATAATTAAAGCAATCCAGTCATGTAGCGCTGCGCAGAGATTCCTTGTATATTGATTTTAAATGTGGACATCTGATGATATCAACTTCTTTGACTAAGTAAATATTTAGTGTGTTTCAGACTTGGCCAAACTTGTGGGTTTTGAAGGTTCTAGCAGGTTAAAACAAAAATTGTCAGTTTCTCAATTTCCCTTTCCTTCTTGGAAAGGAGGCTCACTTAAAATATTTGTGAGAGAGATCACTAGCCTAGTGGATTCTGCTAGAGATGCAGAAAGGAATTTTTCCACTTCTGAGCAGATTAATTATACTTTTGGAAAAATCCCTCTTTCTTTTTAGGCATCTTGAAAGCTTATGCTTGTTCAAAACTACTAAAATACTTGATTTTTTTTTTATCAGATGCATATCTAATCTGGAGAAGCCTTGATTAAAATTCCCTTCTTTTTTTTCATGTCAATAGAGCTCCCCATTTGAAGTGTAACATGCTTTTCCTCCAAAATGGAGTATTTGTGTGTTTCCTGCATGTGTATATGCATAATACATATGTAATTTTCTACCGAGACTTCTACAACCGAAAAATACTGTGTTTTTGTAGCAAAGACAAAAAAGCTAAACAATTAGGTATTAATGATATTCTTGTTGCATATTCAAAAGGTC